CTCAGGCCTGGCAGCTCCCGGCCAGGGAGCGCGCGCTCAGTTCCCGCGGTGATGGGCGCGGTGATCCCATCTGAACACAGAGCCCTGGGAAGCAGGACCAAGGGGGGATAGGGGAGGATAGCAGAGTGACTCCGAAGACCGAGCACTGCTCTGAGACTCAGTGCCCGGCTTTGCCACTGCCTTGCTGCACAACCCTGGGCAAGTCACGTCCTTGCTCTGTGCCTCAGTTTCCCCCCTCGTCTCTATAAGCGTCTCCAGGCAGGGACTTGCTCTCGTGTGTACTGCACATGGCAGAATGGGATCTTTAGGGGCGTGGGATGTCTGACTAACAAGCCAGGCAGACATCACTGGCAATAAAGTCCCACCTGATTGCCATGACGCCTGTTAATTAAGAACGAATGAAAAGGCCGCGAGACTGGGATGAGGTTGGCAGCGTTCAATGCCGGGCTCCGCAGGCAGCAGAGATGAGACGCCAAGCAGCGGGAGCTTCGTGCCAGCCGCCAGCTCCACACGAAGGGAAGGGTTTTAAATTTTCTACCGAGTTAGCACCTATTTGTTGTGCCGCATTGTACCCCAAGTAGGGCATGCGGGAGGCCGGACACCCAGCTGTGTCCTGTGATGGTGAACCGCGAAATGCTACTTAGAGATGTTCTAATGAACCCAGTGTCTTCCCTACGCTTGAATATTTTACAATAATAGGTCCTGATAGAATCAGGAATAATTATTATTAGATCAAATAACAAGGTAGAATATAATTAATAGATAATAATAAAATGCAAGGGTTACAGCTCACTTGATATTCTAATAACTAATCAATAATAATTATGACTAATATTCTAGTACAATAATAATGGACAACCATGGTATTTCTGTTGCAGAACTGTAATACTAAAATAATGAATAGCTATATTAGTAGTAATAAGCTACAATAATAAATAGATAAAAAGACAATTATATTTTAACAATAGAGGTCTCATAATAACTCTCTTGAAGGATAATGAACACACACTAATAAAATAATTGTAATGAAATCGTACTGAGATTTTAATCGTATTATGATGATAAAATACTTAATGGGTAGAATAATCGTTAATAGGTAGAATTGCAAATCATGATGACGAGTCAGCCGAGTCTAAGATGATTTATTTATATTGCCCGTGGGAGAAGATCACGGCGCCCTCATGCCGGGCACTGTACGTACATGTGGCGAGAAAGAATCCATGACACTCAGAATTTACAAACTACACAGACAGTGGGTGGCAGGGGAAACTGAGGCAGGGACAGGGATGTGCCCCCAGTTATTGGGAAGGGCAGCGGCAGAGCCGTAGCAAGGAGAGTGGTGGTAAGTCTCGGATTTCCGAGCTGGAAAGCTCTCGTTTGTGTCCTGGCCTTAGGGCGGAGAAGTGACTTCAGTAGTAGCCACGTCTGCAGGCTGTAGGACACGTGTCCGCAGCCTCCCAAGCTGGGGTCTCTTTCTCCATTGCCCTGGCCCTCGCAGGCCGGGCCACAGCATATGTAAAATGCTGTTGGATGTGGGCACGCGTGGCCCTGGCGTGAGTGGCTGTACACTACAGCATGTGGGGCGGCCCCAGGGGGGCGCTCACTTCCCTTGGGCCACCGAGCCCCCGGGAGGGACACACTGACACCCTGTGGGTGATGGTTCCAGACTGAGAGTCCCCCGGGCTTGGGGTGACAGAACCCAAGCAGAAGGACTGGATCTCCGATCCACGCCAGGGCCGTCAGCTGCACCCCGAGCGGCAGCACTGCTGAGCATGCCCTGCTCCTGCCTGCCAAACAGAGAGCTAGCCTCCCAGTCAGTAAACAAAGCAACCCTACAGTAAACAAAGCCGTGTGCAGACCCTGCCCTAGCCCCCCTGGGACTCCCCGCCCCCTGCAAGACCAGAGCATCCTGAGGGGGCGGTGGCTCGGAGGAAGCGGCTTGCCCTAGCTCACACTCTTGGACTGAAACCGGGCAGGGTACCCACGTGCCCCCCACCCACCGTGCCCAAGGGCCCATTCAGTCCCTGGGGGGCTCCCCCCCCAGTCCAAGCAGTGTTCAGATTGAAAGATGCACCCCCTTTTCCGAGCCCAGCCAGCAGGCCCGGGCCTGTGCATCTTTGAGGGGAGGAAGCGGCTTGCCCTAGCTCACACTCTTGGACTGAAACCGGGCAGGGTACCCACGTGCCCCCCACCCACCGTGCCCAAGGGCCCATTCAGTCCCTGGGGGGCTCCCCCCCCAGTCCAAGCAGTGTTCAGATTGAAAGATGCACCCCCTTTTCCGAGCCCAGCCAGCAGGCCCGGGCCTGTGCATCTTTGAGGGAGTGTCGCCATGGCGACGGGCCTCCTCCCAAGGTGGCGCTGGCATCCAAGGGGCCTCACCTGTCAATCGAGGCACCTTCCACATCCAGCCCAGCCTCCCCCATGCCCTCCTCCTGATGCTCGTGGTGGGAATCCAATTCCCTCCAGGCCCAGGTACCTTCCCACAGCCCCCTTGGCGGGAGCGAGTCCCTAACTCCGGCCGGCCCCCATCCCGCGGGGCCGCCTGCCACCGGGGATCTCACCTCTGCCCCCCACTTCTCTCCCCCCAGGACTGATCATCCACGAGGGCTCCTCGGTGTATCGAATATTCAAGAGGTGGCAGGCGGTGAACCAGCAGTGGAAGGTGCTGAACTACGACAAGACCAGGGACCTGGGGGAGCCGGTTGGCGGGGCCGCGGCCAAGGCCGGGGGCAGGAATTCACGGACGAACCCCTCCTCGGGGAGGGAAAGGAACCCCCGGCGGGGGCAGCTGGGCAGGACTATTTTGAACCTTCTGCACATCCTCAGCCACCTGCGGCCGAACGAGCACCGCGGCGGCGCCAGCTCCGGCCGGGAGGTGGTCATGAGAGTGACGACGGTATAACGCGGGCGGCGGGGGCTGGCGCGAGGAGCATCCCGGGGTAGGGCGCTCGCCAGCGTTCTCCGCCCCCCCTCCTCCGTCGCCACCTCATCTTCCTACCCCGGGGACCGCTTTCCCCGTGGCTCAGCCTGCGCCCTGCTAACCTCCCATCAATGTGAAAATGCCTGCGGTGGGGGGAAGAGACCGGGCTGGCCGCTTCCTACTGGCGTCCCTCGCAGCCCCTCCCTGATTTCGGGGATGGAAGAAGATTGGGATCAAGCCTCCTGGCTCCTCCAGCGACGACTGATCCTGCGAGGGGCCAGGAATTGAACGTGCTTACCTCATCGTGGTTCAAACAAAACTCCAATCCACCCATCCCGCCGCGAGTCTCCGCCCGGGAGGCACGGAACGCCTCGTCCCCAAAAAAAGGTGCAATAAACACGTTTCTAAAGCAAAATGGGATCCGGCAATAAGATACCTGTACATTTCATCTTTAATTTAATGCATGAGAATCTGTCTCCCCTTTTCCTTCTCTCCTATCGTGGGAGGATAAAGAATCATTTATATGCAAATAGTTGGCTCCCAATCCATCTCTCCTTTCTCTCTCTGTCTTTAACATCTTAATCCTGCCGCTGGGATTTCACTGGCAGCCACTCGGGACCGAAGAAGTGGCGGGCAGGGGGAGATGCCGCAAGGGCTCCTCCCCAGGATGGGGGGGACGTCTCTGTCAAGAGGTCTGCCTTGTCCCTTGCGAGCCGCCGCCTCGGCGTTGGGAGGAGGGGAGCCTTCGCTGGAAGATGGGTCTTGTCTCTCCAAGGCTTGACTTTAAGGAATTGGGTGGCTTGCTTGGGATGCTAGCTGGAGAGGAAGGGTGGTTCAGGGGTTAGAGCATTTGCCTGCCTGCAGGGATATTGGGCTCGGGCTGTGGGTGACGTTTGGGTGCCACCCTTCCTTGTCTGTACAGCTTAACCCTACCTCACAGGGGTGTTGTGAGGATAAACCAGGGGAGCGTGGGGCCCGTTTGGGCGCTGTCTGCTGATGAGCCACATTTGCAATTGTTGCCGTCAAAAGCCAACGTCCTAGGGGTGTTACAGGTGGGGTTTGTGGGGCACTGACCCTTCCCAGGCACTGCAGAGCTGTGTGTGTGTGGGGTGGGGGGAACCACACTGATCCCTCTTTGCCATCTGCAGCATGGCCTGCTCCCCAGGACCCGTCTGGCCGTGTGGAGCCCTGGACGCCTCCGCCAGCTCCCTGCCATGGGTGGGCAGCCAGAAGGGCCGGGGAAACTGAGTCCATGTCCTGGGTGCCGTAGCCAGAGGATATGGGGCAACCTGGCATGCATGCTGCCGGGCAAAGGGGGTGGAGGTCAGTGTGGTGAGGGGGTGCACAAGTGGGAGGAAAGAGCAGGGTTGGCACGTAGGGGGCACTGTGCAGCAGTTGGGGCAAAGGGGGTACCATGCCGGGATCAGCAGCAAAGGGGGCACAGGAGGACGGCAAGAGTTGGGGAGCCCCTGGGCGCCGGGGAAATGGGTGTTGCCGGGCCCGCAGGGGCACCATGTTCCCTAAGGCCGGCCCTGAGCCAACTTCTCCCTGGATCCTGCCCGCTGCCGGCCCCAGCTCTCCTGCAGAGCTCCCCTGAAGGGGTCTGGAAAAGACCCGCGCACAGCAAGGAATTTGGGGGTCTCACGAATGACCCTCCCCCCCCTTGCGTTTGGGAACGGCCTGTCTCCAGCCCCTTCCCTCCACAAGGCTGTGCAGAGCAGGAGGCCAAGAGAGGCATGGAGCAGACAGAAGGATGCACCTTGGATGGGGGTTTGCTGCCCCGACCGCCTGGCAGGCCGGTTCACAGCGTATGAGGAGGAGGAAGCCTGGAAGACCGATCGATGCAGCCTCTGGGGGATGCTCCTGGAGCGAGAGGCTGGAAACGCTGACGAGGCGCTCACAGTGTCCCCTAACAACGGGGGAGGGATCGAGTGGATCAGGCACCTGCTTCCTCGCACACCCAGCGCTTCCTGCTTCCTCGCACGCGCCACCGGGGGCCAGCCAAGGAGCCCGCTCCAACGGGACTAGGGTGCCGGGCCTCAGCCCAGGCTGCACCACCTCTGGAGGGCTCCCACCAGCCGGGCGTTGCTCTCAGCCCATGCACCGCCGGGGCGATGACCGGATCGTGGGTTGGGACCGGCGCAGGCGTCTCCAGTTCCCTGCCAAGGCAAAGGCTCAAGCTCCCCATTCAGCCCCAGGAACATCCCCCAGGCGACTGGATTTTGATGCATCTCGCCAGGGAGCGACAGCTGGAGCTACAAGTCTCTTTGCTTTCTGGGGCCCTGGAGGGACAGGAAGCTGGTGGGGGGGGGGGGGGGGGGGTGGGGTCGGCTGCG